GGCACATCACAACAACGATTAGCGTGAGAATACTGGAAAAGAAACCAAATTCTTACACTGCCCTCAACACGTAAGAAGTAAAGATGTTGTTCTCAACCCTGCAAGTCGTAGTCATTATAATCTTGTTATCATGAACTTGTTACAAACCCTCAGCTTTCAGCCTGGTGTGTGGAAGAAAGGGCTTTGGCGTAGGTGGGCCACAGTTATGATCTTTCAGCTTCAGCTCTGACTCATTACTTAATCTTTGAAGTTTTGTTTCTCTAAAATGAGATAAAAATTACTGAAGGCTATAAATTTTCACAGGAGCAGAAAACCTTATCTTTCTCTCAAGGAGAAGCTGGTGGATTTGAACTGCCGACCTTGTGGTTAGCAGTCCAGTGCTTATCTTATAGCACTACACCAGGACTCCATGCAAAGAACAACACTATGAAAATTTGTTTCAGTTGCTTGACATCTCTGCCTTTCAGTTTCCTTATCTCTAATGGGAGTCCTGGTGTGGCGCTGTGGGTTAATGTGCTGAACCTTGAGGTTCAGTGCTTTATCCCACAGCACTATACCAGGACTCCACTTGTTTAATCTCTTTTACATATCAAAAGAGAAAGACTCAAGACACACCCTACACTAATTCTGTCTCATTAACATAACAGAGACCATCTATTCCCAAATGGAATTATAACCACATGAATGCTGTCATTGTTAAGTGCCATCCAGTTGGTTCTGACTCACAGCGATCCTATATAGGTTTTCCAAAGAGTGACTGGTGACTTTGAACCGTCGACCTTGAGGTTCAAACCAACCTTGCAGTCCAGCACATTTACCCACAGTGCCACACCAGAACTCCAACAAAAAGAATAGATATTAAGATTTACCACACATATTTTGTGGGGGTCGTAATTCAATATATAGCAGGGTTCTTCTGAATTCCTTTTGTTGTTATTGTTTTTAAGTGCCATCAAGTCAACTCCTACTCATAGTGACCCTGTACACAGGGTTTCTAAAGAGCAGATGGTTGGTTTGAACTGCTGACCTTGTGGTTCACAGTCCAGTGCTTATCCTACAGCCCCACACCAGAATTATTTTTAGAGTTGATATATGTAAGAGTATTTCCTTCCTGAAACATTTATTGTTAAGTGCCTTCAAGTCAATTTTGATTTATAGCGACCCTATAAAGAGGAGCTCTGGTAGCATAGTGGTTACGAATTGGGATGCTGAACCACAAGGTCAGCAGTTCGAAACTACCAGCTGCTCCACAGGAGAAAGATGAGGCTTTTTGCTCCCGTAAAGATTTACAGCCTCAGAAACCCTGTTCAGAGTTGCTATGGGTCAGAACTGACTCGACGGCACTTAACAATAACAACAACATATAGAATTTGCTGGAAGCAACTGGTGAGCTTGAACTGCCAAACTTGAGATTCAAACCGACCTTACATCTCCCCCCCCCAAAACTGAACATTTTTAAGTCAATTCTGTCCAGAGACAGATAAGCACATGCTTAAGGTAGCAGCAACAAAACAAGGCAACAGTTATCCAAAGCAAAGATCCTTAGATGCCTAGCAGACATAAAGAAAAGCCAGGGCTACGGTGAAAGAAAACTGGCAGAGTACTAAAAGAAATTGGTATTTGTTTCGTGCATGAGAATGTGCCAGACGGAAGGAGAAAATGGTCACCCAACATTTTGAGGACAACCATGAACAAAGTTGTTTAAGCTATGAGATCTCTACCACCTCAGCACTTTCTGGGATATCTCTCTCTTATGGTTCCCTCCCATGTGATTGAAATTCCTTATCTTGGCAGGTCTCTTTGCTGTTGTTGTTAAGTACTGTGGAGTGGGTTCCAGCTCATGGCGACCCTAAATAGGGTTTCTGAGGAGCAAGTGGTGGGTTTGAACTGCTGGCCTTGTGGTTCACAGTCCTGTGCTAATCCTACAGCGCCACCCCAGCAGTCCTTGCAAGCGTATTATTTGTTTAACCTAATGGGTTGGATTGCTAACTGAAAGGTCTGCAGTTCAGAATCCACCAGCGCTGAGGGAGAATGA